AATGTTCACGCAACACTTTATGCCCGACGATTTTCGTATTCGCAACAAAGAGTTGAAACTCACGACTTTCCGAATTATTTGCGATGAATTATTCTGAAGTTAAAGTCTCTGCGGATCCCGTTCGCAGCGTCAATTATCTTTTTAATTAATGAAACTTTATTTTTAAAAACAATTATTATATTAATTAACTGCAAAAAGCTTAAAGTTGAAGCAAGCGACTTCTCTAATCTACAGACTAATATGAAGTGACAAATTTATTATTACATATTGGAAAGATGTAACACTAATCCTAAAAATGCATAGCATAGGTTCAGGAAAATAATTGCGTCCGGCACTTTTTTACTAATAGTTCTTAACAAGATTACTAGATAAATTTAATTGTCAGACGTATATGTCCATGCATTAATGAGTAATTAATTTTGTAATTAAATTTTAAAAATTTATATGACTTGCTCGTCAATGAAATTTACAGAATAAGAGTCTGCCATTTTTTTACTGCGAAAATATAGTATGAATTTTTAAAACTGAAAAAAAAAGTAATACTTATATATATATATTATTAGTTCATGTTTGGCTATTGGTAAAATTATTCTCATCATCATGAGGTCGTCAGTCCTAAGNATTCTAAAGATAAAAACATTTTTTGAATTGAGAAATAGTAAATACGTACGAAATTTTCAGTATTTCTTTCGCAGACTAATTTTTAAAATATGTACTAAAACTCAGTTTTAATAAATTCTATGCCTGAAACATGTTTTTATATACTGTCAAAAACGTGCTTTTATTTACTATTATCAAATATTAATATTAAAAAATTATTCTGGGATAGAAACAATAAAAATTTACATATTTGTTATTTCATAATTCAACAAATGTTTTTATCCTTCGAATTAATTATATATTTCACACACCCATAAATGTTTCAGAAATAGAGTTTACTAAACTGAATTCTAATAAAATCTATTCCTAAAACATTTAAATGTGTTTTTATTTATTGTTATCAAACTTTTAAACAACGTCTCATAAATCACCAACAAACACTCATTCATTAAAAAAGCGTGGACAAGAAATAGTTAAAAAATTTACCACATTGGCGACAATGTAATTATTAAGTAGTGACAGTATTGAACTGCCCTGAATACAGACATTTTTACAAAAAAAACAGAGGAAAACGATGTAGAAGGAAAACATCTCGAATGCAACTATACACACACCGTACAAATTCGATTGCATACTAACAATTACTCAGAAATTATAGAAAATAATGTGGAAGAAAAACATCTCATATGCAACCATACACGCACCAGTGTAAATTCGGTTGCATACTTATAATTGCTCAGAAATTGTAACATTTAAAACCAATTTTCGATCCTTTAGAGAATACAGAAGTTACTAATTACAGATGGATCTAAAATGAAGATCAATTAAACTTTAAATGGTTTGACGGGAACCAAGTGCCTTCGTCGTACAAGGACTTTTTACAAGAATTACCACAAGATGAGCAAACAGGTAATTTATTATTGTTGATTAATTTATATAATTAAGTGAAAACCAAATTTTAATGTGTTATTTATTTCAGTAGACGAGGGTGATGTAATGGATGAAGAGGAAGAATCAATCAGTGACGACAATATTTAATTAGAAATTAACCAGACGACGATATTGAGTATATATATATACACACACCTCTTTAAGTCGAACTTCGATAAGTCGAAAACCTCCAAAAGTCGAAAACTCTATAACTCGAATTGTTTGGCAACTCCCTTGATGTTCGAGTTATAGAGGTTCAACTGTACCTATATATTATAGTTTATCATTTTGTACTTTATATTTGAAAATATTTAATTTTTGTTAAGTATTTATTGATATCTTTAATAACATCTGTTCGGATGAAAAAGACAATTTAAAAAATAATTCGTCGACGAGCAATATGACTTAGTACCTTTTTTTTACAAGTTTAAAATAATTAAAAAAAAATACGCAGCAACTTACATGTCTACTTGAGATTTTTTAGCATCTATTTAGTGAAATTAACGCAATGTATTAATGGCAGACAAGCTAATAATTTAGGAGACCTTTTTTTGCAATTATAAAATTACGTTTTTCACAAAATCAGCGATATTTGACTGCTACCTATTTTATACGATTCACGTTTCAAAAATCTTTTGTTTATCACTTTCAAGGACGAGCTAATCATATGCCCATATTGCCACGAGCTCCCAAGCTATAATAATCACACAAGTACAATTGGGAACGAGATTGTCTGAATATCCTGGCAGTTTATAGACTACCGCGAAATACTTGAAAATTCTAAAGATAAAAACATTTTTTGAATTGAGAAATAGTAAATACGTACGAAATTTTCAGTATTTCTTTCGCAGACTAATTTTTAAAATATGTACTAAAACTCAGTTTTAATAAATTCTATGCCTGAAACATGTTTTTATATACTGTCAAAAACGTGCTTTTATTTACTATTATCAAATATTAATATTAAAAAATTATTCTGGGATAGAAACAATAAAAATTTACATATTTGTTATTTCATAATTCAACAAATGTTTTTATCCTTCGAATTAATTATATATTTAACACACCCATAAATGTTTCAGAAATAGAGTTTACTAAACTGAATTCTAATAAAATCTATTCCTAAAACATTTAAATGTGTTTTTATTTATTGTTATCAAACTTTTAAACAACGTCTCATAAATCACCAACAAAAACTCATTCATTAAAAAAGCATGGACAAGCAATATTTAAAAAATTTACGGCATTGACGACAATTTAATTAAGCAGTGAAGTAGTATTGAACCGCCCTGACTACAGACACTTCCGCAAAAAAGACAGAAGAAAATAATGTAGAAGAAAAACATCTCGTATGCAACCATACATGCACCAATGTAAATTCGATTGCATACTTATAATTGCTCAGAAATTGTGACAATTAAAACCAATTTTCGCCCCTATAATAAATCCAGAAATATTATTTATACTTTTTAAACCGATAACAGAATAAACCAGGAAAATTTTTAAAAAATATATACTTTTTAACCAAAAAGTGCGTTACATCTGAAATTATCAATTATTCACGCCCTACCTTTTATTGCAAAAGCTAAAAAGTGTGTAAAATGATTATTTAGGACTACCATACAAAACGACAAAATGTTATGAACACATGTTTTACTAGAGCAAAAAATTAGCCAAATTTAACAGCACACAAATATACTTTTTGATACTGACCCCTCACTCATTTATTCCAATGTTCACACGAATATAAAAAAAAATAAAAAGTGACAATAAATTACCCAAATATGCATTAGGAATTGTTTCTATTGAGTTTTTGTGTATATCTATATATTTGATAATCACAATTTTGTTTAGATGTAGTTATGGGTCAGCTCGTTTGCATGTGTTTCGTTTGAATGTGGTTGTACCCCGAGGTTGGCGTCATTGAGACGCAGTCTATCACTGTAGCCTTTTGCTTAGAGTGATCCCAGAAGGATCATATTACATACATGCGAATGTACAGACCCTTTAGAGTAATTATAAGGTTTGTTGTTATTGGACTATTTGAATGTTTCAGTTAGGATAAGTTTAAATTCTTTTGGCAAAAGGGTAGATCGGAGGATAGTTTTGTATGCTTAAGTTTGTTTTATCTAGTCAGTCATCAAGTTTCCTTTATCTGTAACACATCTTTTCTTTTCTTTTGTACTGTTACCTTTTATACTTTACATTTTTAAACTTAACTTAAACACCATTACGTGTCTTCATTGTGAAAACAAAATATCCAACAGTGTCTTCTTTAATAAACAATCTTTTTGCAATAACCAAGTCTTTTAATTTAATCTTATAAATTAAAAGTTTGTCACTTGCCTTTGTTGTTTCTGCTTTCAGTGAATAAAAGGAAAGTGCTCCACACTGGGATGAAATGCGGACTGCTACAATCACAGGCCAACTACACATGATGTCCAAACGTTGTGTGAAATTCCTGTTAAACTTCAAAACAATATTTAAATATATAATTAACATGGAAACAGAAAATGTGAACAGCTAATAAGCGCAAATTCAAATGGCAAATATAAATACTTAGTTACATTAATAAGCATGAATGTACTGCTCATTTTGCATGAATATAAAGGATTATTAATGAATTTTTTCTTATTCTATGTATTCTCATTTTAATTACCTACACAATATCTTAAGGTAAACAAGTCTCGCAAGAAGGCTATCATTGTACTAGTCATAGATGATAGATAAATAAACGGTAAATAAAAATTACGATATTTTTAATGATCGAATGCTGTTTTTCTCATGCAACTCAAAATCTTTAAACGGTTGTAAACACCGTCATCTGCCAGGTTTAGTCTGCACTATTCCCATGGTATCAGTCATAGATAATAAATCTACAAAGGGTAAATGGCGAATCATAATTTATATATAATTATAGAATATCTATGATTATAGATTAAATATTTATTTAATCTCTAGTCTATGATGTGCTTGTATTATTTCGTTTCGCGCACGTGTATTAGGAATACTAATGATATTATTGAAATATAATTTAACTATTATTTGCAAAAAATATTATAGAGATAAAGTTTGCTTACCATAGTAGCTCAGTTTTCAAGCATGAACGACGCGCAATCGATCATTGTTAATTAAATTTGATAGCTTGAGTAGTTTTCGAATAAATGGACATTAAATTTCTCCCAGCACCCAAAACAGTTTTTATTTCTTTAAACAAAACTAATACATACAATACGCTATGTATATATTTAGAACCTGCAAATGACGCACAATTTATTAGTAAAATAAATATAAATTAGCGGATGTGCCAGTCAATAGGTTTCGTAACTTATCTAAGGGATCTATGATTTATGGTTATAGCATAGATAAAGGATCTGCATATAATACTTTATGGTTTGTAGGTTGTAAAAATCTATCTGTGGAATCTATACATAGATATAGACAGATATAGATCATAGATGCATAGAATCTATGGTTGTAGCAGGTTATGGGCATGACAAGAATTGTAGGTTTTGTTTATGTTGTCGGTGTGCTATGTAATTTAGGATCTAGCTAAGGGAGCTGAACTAATCTACTTCTGGTATCATTTTACTTTAAAAGAGTATTATCAATTATTTGCAATGGTAAGTATTAAATTTACATGTGGTTTGATTTTGAAATCATTTACATTTTACTTTGAATGATGCAAGTTGACCATATGGTTGCCACACATTTAATATTTCAGGCTGCTTTAGAGAGGAAAGGAACGTTTAAAGTGGAGTATTTGCAAAAGATAGAGCACGAAGTCCAGTTACAATGGGAGAAAGAAAAGTTGTTTGAAGTAAATGCCCCTGAGAAACCAAGACAAAAATCTGATGAAAAGTTTTTCTGTACATTTCCTTTCCCTTATATGAACGGAAGATTACATTTAGGTCATGCCTTTTCATTGTCCAAATGTGAATTTGCATCGCGCTATCAACGTCTTAAAGGGAAACATTCACTTTTTCCTTTTGGCTTTCACTGTACTGGTATGCCAATTAAAGCCTGTGCAGATAAATTGAAGAGGGAAATTGAACTGTACGGATGTCCACCCAATTTTCCAGAATATGAACAGGTGAAAGTTGTGGATAACGAAGAGTTAGTGCTTAAAGATAAAGCTAAAGGAAAGAAGGTAAATAATAAAAATATTTGTTTTTCATAAAAGATTTTTGGACACTGAAGTTTGAAGCATTTTTGAAATACATATGCTTTGGGTAAATAGCTCCTATCAAGAATAGTAAGTATGCAATATTGACAAAGATTTAACTACATAATTAACTAACATGGTCTTCAACTCGTTAAGAAACACACAAAGACCATGGCCTGCACTCAGTTTCTAACTAATTTTGTACTCAACTCCTGGAACAGGTTGTCAGGTTAAACAATTGAACTTGATCTCATCTCATTCAAATTGTTTCTGTTCCAGGAATGACTGCTGTAAATTTCTGTGGTATTATCTAAGGTATAATACACTTGCACTGTTAGTTAGGTATGCTATTTAAATTTTTATATTCATACCTTTTTTTACAAACTAGATTAAAAGAAAATAAATATCACAACAGACATATTACCATTTCTGCATCATATAACTCAGCATTTCTAAAACAGTATGGAGACAGGACAAAAAACGATATTTGATGATATTAGAATGTATAATAAATCTAATTAATTTAAATGTTTATTCTTGGAGGCCTCTTTTATTTTTATTTATGGTAACAAGACTGTAAATTCTTGATCTGATTTAGAAAGCAGTGTCATAGTTAACAATTACTGTAATATATTTGTAATACTGAATTAATACGTTGTTTTATATACTCAACATTACTGGACTGTAAAGTGGATGCATTTTGTTATTCTAATATTAGCTTTTAGCTGCTATCATAAAAAGACAAATGCTACCCAAAACATATGTAGATTTCCACTTATTAAAATTTGAAACATGTTAATGCTCATTCTGTTCTCTATATTATACATATTTTTTCTGTTATTTAATGAAGTTAATTTCCTTTAGAGCAAAGCAATGGCAAAAGCTGGCACTGCAAAATACCAGTGGCAAATTATGCAAAGTTTAGGTTTAAATGATCAAGAAATAGCAAAGTTTGCAGATGAAAATTATTGGCTTGATTATTTTCCTCCACTTACAGTTCAAGATCTGAAAGCTATAGGATTACATGTAAGTCAACATGTAAGCAGATATTGAACATGAATTTCATCATCTAAGTTTAGTGACCACTAATTTTAAATTTTGATTACACATTTTTTTTTTAATTTCTTCTCTGGTTTAAGTAATAACAAAAAAAAAGTGTTACTTATTTCCTTGCTTCAGTAGTAAGGAAAATGAATCTGCTTAAAAAAAAATATAAATTTTGCAGTCTTTGTAAATTGTATTCGTATTTCTTTTTAATTTATTTTTTCAAAATTTGTAAAATGAAAATAACGACATTTTTTACTTATAAAAAGCATACTATTGTGGGGCTCATTATCATGCTAGTCCATTCATAGTAAATATATAAATTCGTTTTTATTTGTTTTCATAGACAGATTGGCGGCGTACTTTTATTACAACTGAAGCTAATCCCTTTTTCAATTCTTTTGTACGATGGCAATTTATTAGGCTAAAGGAGAGGAACAAAGTACAATTTGGGAAACGTTACACCATTTATTCACCAAAAGATGGCCAGCCTTGTATGGATCATGATCGATCTTCAGGAGAAGGAGTCGGTCCTCAAGAGTACACATTAATTAAGATGAAAGTGTTAGGACCACTGCCACCGAAAATAAGGTTATTTTTATATTGATTATGCTAAAATAAATGGTAAAAATGAAAATAGGGTGTTTTAGTGTTTTTAAAGATAAAAACGTATTTTTGGTTGCTGCCACATTACGTCCTGAGACGATGTATGGGCAGACAAATTGCTGGGTTCGTCCTGATATGAAATACATTGCCTTTGAAACACGATCGGGGGATATATTTATATCAACAAAACGTGCCGCCAGAAATATGTCCTATCAAAATTTTACAAAGACAGAAGGTCAATTTGAAGTATTGGTGGAATTCATTGGGCAAGTAGGTTTTACACTGTATGAGTTAAAAATTTTTAGCATTAGTTATGGAAGTATTTATTCCTCTTTAATTAGGATATCATGGGTGTAGCTGTTAAAGCTCCTTTGACTTGCTATGAAAAAATTTATGTTTTACCAATGCTAACTATTAAAGATGACAAGGGTACAGGTGTTGTGACCAGTGTCCCTTCTGATTCACCAGACGATTATGCTGCTCTGGTTGATTTAAAGAAAAAGGAGCCGTTCAGAGAAAAATACAAACTTCTAGATGAGATGGTAAAAATGCAATAATATTTTTGAAAATATCCTAAATTATTTTTTGTATAGGTATTACCTTATGAGCCAGTGCCTATAATAGACGTTCCTGGGTTTGGGCATCTTTCTGCAGTCACTGCTTACGAAAAATTAAAGATACAGAGCCAGAATGATAAGGACAAACTTGCTACTGCTAAAGAAATGGTTTACTTAAAAGGATTTTATGATGGAGTAAGTTTTGCTTATTTTAAATAAAGAAATAAGTCAATAATTAAAGGATTTCGTGATCTCTACTAGATGTAAATCTAATATTTTTTGCGTAAATTATTAAAAATTGAAGTTGCTTAATGTTTTATTCTCCTGAAGTTTGAATGAAAATACCTATAACTGATAATATAACTAAATGGAAAAGAAAATTTGGTTAAGGGAGTTCTCTCCAAAAAACAAATGACCAACAGAATTGAATGAAATTTCTCTCAGACCTGCCTAAACATCTTATAGAAGTGCTATTAAATTTTTATGGCTCGAAGGTACCTGTTAGAAAAGTTATTAATGATACTATTTCAAAGTTATTAATGTGGAGGAATTGACTGTAAAGCATCAATTAATTGTTCAATTGTTTAAATTTGTAGATTATGTTGGTAGGCGAATTTGCCGGCAAAAAGGTACAAAGTATTAAAAAATCTCTACAGAAGCTGTTGGTAGATCAAAATCAAGCTGTAATTTACTATGAACCAGAAAAAACAGTTATGTCACGTTCGGGAGACGAGTGTGTTGTCGCTCTTTGTGATCAGTGGTTCCTTGATTATGGCGAAGAATCTTGGAAAAAACAGGCCAATAAATGCCTAGAAGGAATGAATTTGTATCACGAAGAAGTTAGAAAGAATTTTCAGAGTTGTCTTAGTTGGCTTCATGAGTATGCATGCTCTAGAAAGTACGGTTTAGGAAGTAAACTTCCATGGGCTGAGGAATGGCTTATTGAGTCGTTGTCAGACTCCACAATATACAACGCATATTATACTGTGGCCCATCTCCTACAGGGCAACACTTTCAAGGGTGACAAACCAAATGCTCTTGGAATAAAAGCAGAACAACTTACTCCTGAAGTTTGGGATTATGTCTTCTTCAAAAACGTTCCTTATCCTGCAAAGTGTGGCATTAAGAAAGAATACCTAGATCTAATGAAACGTGAATTCGAATATTGGTATCCAGTAGATTTGCGTGTCTCTGGAAAAGATTTGATTCAGAACCATCTGACTTACTATATTTTCAATCATTGCGCCATTTGGCCTAATGATGAAAGCAAATGGCCTAAGGGAATTAGGGCTAATGGTCACCTGTTACTGAATTCATCTAAGATGTCCAAGTCAGAAGGAAACTTTTTAACACTTAGCGAGGCGACGAAAAAATTTAGCGCGGACGGGATGAGATTGTGTTTAGCTGACGCAGGCGATTCTATAGAAGATGCAAATTTTGTAGAAAGTTCGGCAGATGCTGGAATTTTAAGACTTTACACCTTCATTGAATGGGTGAAGGAAATTTTGGAAACGAAGGGAACTTTAAGGTAAACACTTATAAGACGTTAATCGTTTAAAAAAAGTTTTCATTCGTTTTTAATATGGTAGCACATTGTCTTTCGTTTATTCTATTTAAAAATTAGTGTAATATATTATGCATACAGTGTGACTCAAAATTTGGCGGATTATTTTAATAAGTTGATAAGTACTGTCTGATCTCTACCAAATTCAATTTCTTTCAGAACTGGTCCTGCAAACACGTTTAATGACAAAGTTTTTCATAATGAATTGTTTCTAAAAATTGAAGAGACAGACGCGCAGTATAATAAGTTATTATTTAAAGAAGCTCTTAGAACGGGTTTCTTCGAGTTGCAAACAGTAAGAGATAAGTACCGTGACCTAACTATAATGGAGGGCATGCATAAGGATCTTATTTTACAATTTATAGAAGTGCAGGCGCTTCTTTTATCTCCTATTTGTCCTCACGTTTCTGAACATATATGGAAATTAGTGGGAAAGGCAAGCATTCTAATTTGTTACACTTCTATTCTCTTAATCAAAATATTACAATATTTCGTAACTTTTGTGATATATTTTACAGAAGGGTAGCATTTTAAATGCCACCTGGCCAGCGGCAGGAAAGATAGATTATCCACTTATTAAGTCTTCCGAATATCTAATGGAAGCTGCTCACTCTTTTAGAGTTTACCTAAAAACCCATCTTCAAGGGCCAAGGGCAACTAAGAATAACCCTAAACCTACTGTCATCGAAAAACCGACTTTTGCAACGATTTGGGTTGCTAAAACTTTTCCGCCCTGGCAACATTGTATTCTTCAAACCCTTCAGAACTTTTATAATGTAAGTAGAATGTGAGTGGCCGCATTTTTATTGTTGCATTTGTGCATTTCTTATTATTTTGTTTTAAGAAACAAGGATCTCTGCCTGATAATAAAACATTGTCTACTGAGTTTTCAAAAAAACCTGAACTTCAAAAATATATGAAAAGGGTAATGCCTTTTGTTCAAGCTACTCGAGAAAAATTAGACCAATTAGGATCAAAAGCCCTCGCTGTAACACTCGAATTTGACGAAATGGACGTATTAAAGAAGAGCCAAACTTATCTGGCGAATACCTTGGACGTGAGTTTAAGCTAATAGAGTTTTTATTCAAAAATTATTTTTTTGAATTTTATAGCTTGAAGACCTATTATTAAGGTATACAGATGAAGAAGGCGCACCCGAAAGAACCAAAGAATGTTGTCCAGGACAACCGTACATTATTTTTGACACTAAACCTGGAGTTAAAGTAGAATTTTTCAATCCCGAGCCCGGTAATGGTCTATTCTCGTTTTATGTGAAGATTCAAGAAGGCGACAGTTATGAAAAAGTTATTGGTCGACTTGCAAAAGATGTTAAATTACTTAAAGGTAATTAAGATTGCATTGTTTTTACCAAAAATATTTTGTTATCAAATTCTCATATATTCTCAAAATCGAAAGTGTGAACATTGCATAACGGGATTCCCCCATAATTTGAACACAGTATTAATTATGCTAGGTCGTGTATAAATTAACGAATATTCATTGAGACCTTAATGTTCTTTCAACTAGAATTATCTTAATGAGTATTTATTACTGTTATGTATTTTTACGTATGCTTGTTTAGTTTGTAAAAGTAAAAGAGTGTACTGTATCAATGAAATATTTAATAATCACTCAACAATTGTTCCGACTGAATAGTTATTATGAAGTCTACAGACAATTGTGTAAGAGTGTGTCTGTATTGTTAGTAAATGTTCAATCGAAAAAATTAGGTGAATGTCATAACACGTCTACAGTCAGTTTTAATTTAATTTTGTTCGTTTATTACATACTAATCTTGGGTTCGATATTGTGATTTTTTTTGGTTCACACCATTGATTGTCTACTGTTTTAATTTACTATAATCAATAATTGCATATTTCAGCTGTAGGGCAAAATTTAAATTTAGTTAATGTGGAACAATGGAAATCTAGTGTTTAAATTGTTCCTATAATAATGTTAATATTTGTTAGTGTCATAAATACGATACATTCAGTTTTATTCGTGGCTAAACTGTTATAAATAAAAATATGCATAGTCTAATACTTTACGTAAATGTATATTATGTCAATTTAGCAAGAGTTCAAGATAACGAAGCATAAATATTGAATTCTAAATAGCTGAAAATGAGACTGATAATATCTTTTTAGATATACATAATGTTGAAATTTGGAAGTACAAGGATCCAGTGTTTGGACCAAACAAAATACCGGTTACAGAGAAACCACTGGAAGATAAAGTTTTGGTGCCAAGAAATAGCTCGTTTACAGTTGATGTAACTAATCAAAAAGTTTATGTAACGTCAAAATTAGTAAAATCGGAACTTGGAAGGGCAGTAGCTTATATAGTAAAAGTATAATTACTATTTATTGAATGTCTCACGTTATTTATGAATTATAATTTATTGGTTACTTACATCAAATATGCAAGGAATGATAATGATGTGAAATCATTTTTTGTTCGTTTGCTTTTGTATATTTACAGATCAATAAATTAATGAAATTTCGCTTTTTTTTGCAATGTACATAACAAAACAACTAACATCTAATAATTCTGTTTCAAATTTTGATGCTATTGCATAGAAGGCCAATATTCAGCAAAGCAATGCACATAATAGAATCCATAAGAATTATATTTAATTAATAAACTGGATTTGGATTTTATAAAGTAATAAGACGCAAATATATTTTACACAAAACAAACAATTTATTAATATAAACGTCTTATAAATTATAATTCCATTTGACATCATCTACTAAAAACAAATCAAACGATTTTAATCTACCTTCTAAAGCAATTGCACATTTTCAATAATAAGGACCACAAAAAATGTATAACTACAAGTCGTTAAAACGATTCTTATGCAACTTTTTATAGATATATGCATATCTTTTTATTTCAGTACTAGTACAACAAAAAGAACAATGATAGTCTCAAAATTGGAATGCACATGTGTAACACAATTATTTAGTAAAACTAGTTACTATAATAAAAGAATGCCTGAAAAAATAGCACACATTTGTTACTTTTTTCTTCTAAAAACGAAATTAACACTATAATCACTTCAAAAACTAAATGTAACAAAACAGAACTATTTTTCAAAAAGCAGTCTTCTGAAATAAAGGAAATCAATCGACAGGAGGGATATTATTAAGTAGGTAAAGATAATAACTTTTTAGAAAATACAGATGCTTAATAAAACAAAAATTGTTTGCATAATTTATGTGATTATAATGTATTTTATTATTTTAATGTATGGGTTTATAATAATTGAGTAGTTAATTAATAAATTAAGGAATANACCTCGTGAATCTAAATAAAATACACGTTTTGGAAATATCGAGATAGGCTTCTGAAAACGTCATAAATCGTCGTATCGCATGCTTTGAAGACGTTTTAGACCATCCGTTTTATTCTCATTCCACGCATAGAGCCTGTAGCTACCTCGAGTATTTTGGTGGACGCTATCTCAGAAACGGTTAAGTACTAATTATTGAACGAGGTTTTTAAAGGTTGACAATATTTATAATAAAACAAAAACTAAAAAAAAACAAAATTAAAATATGATGAATAAATGGTGATAATACTTCCCAGTTTGTGTCACAGCCATTTTGATAACCAAATTTATACTAAAAATTTTATGCTTTTTTTTTACAAAATTATTAACGAAAATTTGCATTTAAAAATTATCGACAAATCAATAGTTTTCTGTATTTAATAATATCCCTCTCGTGTCTTTTTTCGTAATCATGTTTATTTTCTTGTTTAACACGCCATATTGTCTTATTTTTGGGGGTTTTAGTCCTATCTCTTGCATTGACTAGTACAAAAATGAATTACCCTTTTATCTAAAGTATAGCACGTTACTTAGAAAAACAAAATCAGACTTAATTTTTCAACACATGCTTGCATACACAACAATTGCCTAAAATATTGTACTTGCATAATTTGCAAAAGTTACGTAGAAGAATTTAACAGTCCCATTTTTTTGTGTTTACAAAAGCATCCTTATTAATATACTTCCTTATACATATTAATAAAATAATGAGAATGTGTAGTATGTGTAAATTTTAAAAAGTTGAGAATTTATGCTAAGAAGTCTTGTGTATAGATATTGCTATAAGAACAAGAGATAATTGTTTCTAATAATAATAATAATAATATCACAATACAACCAATTACTATGAACCCCTTATTATTTCGTATATTTGGTTAATAACATATTAAATCCCAAACAAGTTTATTGAATATACTTTTAAACATACTTAAATATCATATAAGTGAGCAAAACTTTGAACAAATTAAATTATAATTTCTTATTCAATTATTGTATTGAAATTTATCGAAAATAAATCCCTTAATTATTGTTGACAGAATTATTTTTTAAACAAAAATGTCCTTCTGAAAATAAACTACCGATATTTATTAAAATTAAATTAAATTTAAACTTTATTCCTACATACGTATACAGACTTGAAAAATTAAAGCACAACTTTTGCTAGTAAATTTTTTTAGTAACCTAAAAGAGCTCCAAAATTTGGAAAATAATTAATTGTTTTATACCGAGTACCAAATTGTATCTTATGTACTTCTATCCCAATAAAAATATAGCTGAATGATTAATGTTCTAAAAACTCACCATAAAGCAATTATCCCCATCAGATCTCCAAAATACGTTAACAAAGAAGACAATATGGCTTAATTATTTTGAATTATAGGCCTCTTCTTGCTTTTTACGTAATTAAACGAGGACTGTGAAGTCCTATGGTCTGGTAGTCCAAATCTGGATCATGTGACGTTCCTGGAGCGCCCCAATCATATAACCCTGGCGAATTGGCTAGTCTATGAGTGAGTCTGTGGGCTATTGAAAAGCCACCGCTTCCTTCCAGCTGTGTAAGCACGATAATAACTTGTCGATGAAGAGGTGGCACAGAATCTACGGTTTTTAAGGTACCACGCGTTGAGACAACGTTGTAACTTTCTTGGCAGTCGCATTTGACATGAATCCATTTGTTTTCATGACGATTTTCCACCATCACGACAAGTCCTGCCCATCCTTTGGTTAAATAATAAGCGGTCATACCCTCTCTGCCCTCATGTCTTTGTCCTCGAGCTAACGTGAGGGATATTATAGCGTCCGCAAGGTTATGTGGAGGGGGGGTTTGTTGTTGAGCACAAACTTTTTTCGAACTATGTATCGCAAGGACATACCTGCAAAGTTTATAAAACAAAACATGGAATCATGCAACACGCATTTTTCAATTTTATCTATACATCAAACAAGAAAGAACAAAAAAATACTCAAAAGATAATGAATAATTTTCCATCATAATAAACATAAAATAATCGTTAAATACAAAAATACAGACAAACGTTTTCCATAGCTTAAAAACAAACATAATTTATCTATGCATTTCTATATTATTAAAAATAAAGCCCGTTATTTATAAATTTAATGAATTTTGGATATTCAAATCCATCGAAAACTTAGACAATTAATCTTACAATATGTCCAACAGAAAATAGCTATAGCTAATTCCTTTTCAGAATATTAAATAAAAATCCCAATGTACAAAAAAATTACCTTGGATATGCTTGAGCGTCAATGAGTCCTGTGTGCCAATGGTTGAAAGCTAAGGGAACCAAAATATATTCACCAGGCTCTAACATTTTGTTACAACTGACAAATCCCCGAACTTGTCTTTTGCTATGTTCTACTAAACCACCAATCTGATTTTGACTCCGAGCCTTGAATACAACTATACACAGATCCAATTGAGATCTAAGAGATTTCTCAGATTTTCTTTGACCTTCCTATACAAGGACAAAAATAATCGTATTTACAATTTAGCGTTTAATTAATTTCATTTTTATTTATTGATAAGAAAAGAATAGACGTACAAACTATTACCTGAAAAAGAGTGAGATCGACTTCTGTAGGCTCAACAACGGTTAATAAGATGCACGAAAGATGTTGCTGTGATGCAAAGGGCGGTAAGATGCCATTGAGCCTAACTTCGTTCCAGCAATTTCTTGCTTTACAAATATCGATGCAGTCAAAATATTTTAAAACATCTGCAAAAGAAATCCAAAATGTACCGTCTTGTGGACCGTTGGGCATTAACTGATGACGTAATTGAGCAGTCCATAAATCTGAATTATCTGACCAGTCCCCTGTCCAAACATAATGACCTAAAAAGTGATAAGAAATAAGGTTCAGTATTATTTATGAAAAATTAAAGAAATTAATTATTAAGTTAGTGCAAATTCTAAAGAAGAAATTTTGTTTAATTTAGGGAAAAATTTATCAAATAATCATAATTTGCTTTTGCAATATTTCAGTTCAACTTTAAGAAATAGCTACTATTTAATTTTTACAAACTCAAGCATTACGTAAGTAAACGTAGTGAGTGGAGGGGTTCAATTTTTTTTGTTAGTTTTACTCACAGAAGGAGCAGGTGGGGACCATAAATTTTACCCAAAATATTTTGATTCAATTTTATTTTCTAGTCCTATTTTAATGCTTAATTGCTAACAGTGGACTAAAAACTAAAAAAGAAAAAAATTTAAAATTCATGTAGAACAAATGATACATATTTTTTCCACTTTTATGTGTTTAATGAGCATTATCAAATCTTCATGCAACATATACATACATGTAACTAGACCTAATAAACAATTTTGTTCTTACCCCAAGGATTTCTTAATTGCAGCAAGCGATATTCCTCAACATCCCTAACGTCTAAAAGTGAGTAAGCATGTCGAGGTCTCAAACCTCTTCTCTGATATTCGACTTCATCTACTTTCATGTTACCTCCACCACAGGAAGCCCCCATTAAAAACATAGCTTGTCTTGATGATAACAACCTATAGTTGTGACAATTAATAAATATCCTGTGAAAATAAAAAAAAACATACTGTGCCCAAATAAGATCAGTATCAAGTTCATCTTCAGCTGGAGTTGGTACAGATGACGGTTGAAGAGGGATACTTTCGCATGGTGCTCCTGTTAATGTTGCTAAGCCTTCAATAGCTCTACCGGAAACTAAAGCTTCATAGCAACCGTGTATTTTAGCAACCGCTTTTTCGATTAGAGGCACCCATAGTTGTTTCCGTTTAGCCTGGTCAAGCAGGTTAGAAATATGTACAAATAGTAATGAAAATTGAGCAATACAATTATATGTACTGGGAAATGTATAAAGAGCATGCTCATNAGGCATGAAGGTCTAGTCAGAGACATATTAGAGGCAGAAACAGAAGTTAGGAGGGGTAGAGGTAGACCTAGATTAGATTACTCTTCGCAAATAGTTAAGGATGTGGGTTGTTCTAGTTTTAGGGAAATGCGAAGATTAGCTCAGGATAGGAAAGAGTGGAGGTACGTGTCCAACCAGTCTTAGGACTGATGACCTTATGATGATGATGATAATATATAACAAATGAAAATGTAATTTCATTTACACCCTGATTCTAACAAAGCAAATATATACCTGGCATATGCTGAAAATCTTCTTCTAGTCCCTGATCTAAAGTTGCAATGGGAACGGTGGATGAAACTGTTGTACTGTCCCACTTTTGAGATCTGTGATAAATAACAAGCAATAATTTACAGAAAAACTAATTGTTATCATTGCATTCATTTAAATAGAAAACCAAAAAAAAAATCATATTATCTATTTTGGAAACAACATCGGAAAGAAAAGAAACAAGCTTGACTTTTATGGTAAAAAATAAAATCACATCAATCATAATCAAAAGTAATGTTATATAATTTTTAGTAATAGAATATGAAGCGTAACTTACGAACTAGAGTCGTTAGGGCTACTGTATTCGTTAGTAACGATAAAATGTGGGCAATGTAGACGTTTTATTTCATATTTGGTAAAAGTAACAACTGGATAACTTACCTGGGAATAATACAAATGATTTTTTTTATCACATGGAAACAAATCATCTACCAAGACGGTAGTCCAATGACCGTCTTTACAAAGCCGCACTTGATATACACCCTGTGGGCATATTTGTCTTGTAACTAACACTGCTCTTACTAAATCTTCCCTTTCAGCTAAAACAGCAAGCGCACTAAGAAGCCAGCAGTTACCCAAGACACCTACAAAACAAAGAAAGAAATAAAATATGAAAGGCCACCGTGTTACTATATCAATTAATTATATTGACTCTTTTTAAAACAATAAAGTAAATACTCGAAAAATTAAAACAAAAATCACCCTGAGAAATATCTGATGGGAGAGGCCGTCTAAATACAGCCCAAGACAAGTTCTTATCAGCTTCGTCGACGACCACTTCCTTTACCCTCTTCCATTTGACAATATGTGAATCTTTGATTTCTGCAGGGTTGTAATATAGACTGCTGGCAGCTGGTGGAAATGTCTCATCCACATACGAGTGCTTCTTCAATTTACAATAACGCACTATGTAGTGCCAATGTTTATTTGCCAATTCTTCTTGACTCAGTCGAGTCGGGGGTGCCGGTGGGGTTGTTGCTGGAGTTGTGCTACGTGCTTAACAAAAATATGATAACGAATAAAAATATAAAGAAANTGAAGGTGAGATACAAGCTACAGTATTCTAAAAATACATTTAAATGTATGATATTAATTTTCGCTTTTCGTTTTCTTTAAGAACTTTATAACTGACATTGAGTAAATTCAAAATAAACTGTTAATAAACAATGATTTTGGTTTCACAAGTCTGTGCACTAATTCTGTTTCGATATGTACAACTTAATACTACTTTAAACAAACTAGGGAATAAAAAATGATTAATACCAAATGGAGAACGGTGACTGCGACTTTGATTCTGAATATTTGTACAATCGATATTACTCATATCATCTCCATATTGCAACTATTTGTAGTTCGCGAAGAGTGGCATCAAAACTATAGTAAAGTATTTTCTTTTTTGTAAAGTCAAAGTCAAAACATTTTATGTTCCAAAAGCTACTAGGAGCTGTTCTCTAAATATTATTGATTACAGTTACACTCTGTATATGTATATATTTTTAAAAGCGACATAAAACTAGCACACCCCGAGTGGTGATCAAACTTTGGGTTGAAACAACTTGAAGAGGCTTTTAATTAAAAAGGAGGGAAGGTAATTAAAAAAGTGTCATTTATCAGGTTTGTAAAGAAATACGACCTATTAGTAGAAAAATTGAGACGTAGGGAGAAAAAACAGTTTTGAGAACAGTTAGTAGAAAAGTTTAATCACACGCATTTCGTGTTTGTTTAACTCCTTTGCTTCTAACGGTTGTGAATTTATATAGGGTGTTTCTGAAGTAAGTAGGAAGCTTTGGTAGGCGTTAACTAGGTGAAATAGGAAATCGCATGGTAAATAATGCAATGTATTTATGGGACAAAAAAAAAGTAAAAAAGTAGGAGTTGCAATCCGAAGCTGGTCCTGGGGGTGAATTGGCAACGTACAGGCAAATTGCGTTAAGAACTAAACAGCTACAACAGTGTTGGTTGTGGAACAATTAATAAATACCAACAGCTCACTACTGCGCTACTACACATGATAAATAATGTTTAGACGGCTATGATGACATAAATTAATTAAAAAACTGTTTTGTTAATCGCTAATAGTATGCAGTACTATTTGGAGTAGACATGGTATTAATACCCAGAAGAAAGAAAAAATTAATAATTAAGTGTAAGATAAATTTTTAAACCATTATTGAGGTATTCATGGGTGGTTGATTAGAAAAAATTAACGCACACATCTACACACGCACGCACGCACGGAGTATGCACTCATGCACCCACATACACACACACCTACACACGCACATACGCACACTCACATAAACACACGCAACACATACATACATACATATATACTGGCTCTTACCTTTACTTTCAAAAAAGTTTTTCCCGAAAACAGTAAACATTCAGACCACCAAGTATTTATCTAATTTTCTTGGATATCATGGATATTTTGTTTTATAGGTTCGGTTCATGTGATGGATTTTGTGTCTGTTGTATTTATTTATGCGTTAAAATAGTGGACTTTTCCTATTATTCATTGTTTCTACTAATATTATTATCACTTACTTGTACTCCCGATTTCCTACTAGTATTTAGTGGAGTAGCTACCATGTGACCAAACGGTGAAGTGCACCGGAGTCCCAAGTGTCCTAGGGCTTTCGGCCCTTCAGAAGTAGTAATGTTTGACGCATAGGAACTATTTTGTTTGCCAAACAAGACACCCAGTTAGGTAAATACTTATACATTCCGTATTATCTTTAATATTTCGCACAATAAATGAAAATTTAAACTAGTTTAATTCTAATTCAGTCTATTAATCAAAATCCAACACTATTTTTAACACCGGTTCAGACTTTTATTCAAAATGCTTATGCTTATTGTTTAAATGTATATCTAAAACTTCATCCTCGTTTTACTTTTGTTACTATTTATTATTAGTTAACATTATATCTCATAGTGTAGTTGTTTAGTTGATGCCTCAAATTTATTTTGCATTTAGGTCCCTGATTATTTATCTGACCACGTCATAATACGTTATTTGCGAAGTGTGAGGTGGTTCACATGAGTTTGATAGTTCTTATGCGTTCGCTAATCCATTTTTTTTCTTCTGGTTTATTCTACGGGTGCTTTTCGACAGGTGTCTGTGCGACTTTCTATATAGTAGAAGTTTTCAATACCATTAATTCTTCTATTTTTACTGGTAAAGAAATTGCCTTGAATACTTTTTCTAAATATCATTTGTGGTCACACGGAAAAAAAGAAAGAAATTTCTTCACTTTTTCAAAGCCTTTCTTTCGACCAAAGATCCACATAATATCTAGGATGCCACAAAAAGGCTTATGGTCGAATTACTGAAAAAAACACAAAAACGCGATTTTTCACAAATAACATGTTTTGCATTGCTATTAGTACTAGAAATGAATAAAAAGATTTTAAAAAACGTATTTCGATGGGAAATTCAATTAGGTATATAAAAAAAGTTTTCTAGTAAAAACCGAGAATTTTACTTTGTTTCGAGTTATTGTGAGAAAACTAAGATGAAGGCGGTTTCGGTCGGCTCTCAAAAACATATTCCGGAATTCAATAACTTCGTGATTTTACCATTTTTATATGTCAAACTAACATTATAAGTCATAAAGACCCTTCAAAGTAATTGTTCTTTACTTATAGACATCTTCAATGGCCTAATATGCTGTTTACGAAATCTTCGTGGTTGTGATGAAGATTTGGAAAATGTTTCATTGACTGTTATCACTGCTTTATTGAAGTTACTTCTTGTAGTATGAATGGACAATAGACCGAGTACTGTGTAATCTGTTTATTGCATGTTATTCCTTCCGTTGACGAAGAACTGACTAAGTGTTAAAATCTGAAGCAATACCCATGCCTGTGTTCAGTCAACCAGTAACCTTGACGGTGGTGGTGGCCGGCTGGCAAGAGATTCATTTTGCATTCGGATAATCGCTTTCAGGAACGAAGCTTGTATCCTTTTGTAACTACCACATATGTATGTCTGTGATTGTATTAGTTACTTCGTCAAATCAGGAAATATATACATTCGGAAAATGTTAGTACTTACCTAGCTTAACAACGGATATTGGTTGTAGTATAGAAAACGACAAAGAATTGATGGAAATGGAACACTCTATTAACTTTAATAAAAAACGCCATATAAACTTTTTTACTTAAAATGAGCCTTTCTACCGATTCATGTTGATTTTTTACATACAAAATGTTTCACACTAAATAAAGGGTTGTATTCACCCCGCGGTGAGATCATACCTAAGCATAATATAATTTTTGATCTTTAGACTAGTTTCTACTTTCTGTCACATTTTTTAGTCAATCGATTTAGTTCGTAAGAATCCTTACCTTCAATGACTGCCAAGAAGAGAACAAAATAACAATTTTTTTATATAGTCGTGATTGGACACAATATTTTTTTATTTATGAGTAACGCAAAGATTTGCAGGATTGTATGTCCTGTGGAAATCCTCAATAAAGAAATAGACAAATACTTGTTGGAAATTTTACCACAAAAAGATTGTACATTCAATTTTAAGCTCTCATATTCAAGAGCCATGCCAGCCACAATTTTTGAACAGTTATATGCAAGTATATATTTTTGTTAAAGTGAAATTGGAGCTATATATATATAACAAGTTCTATGAATTTCTATGAATGAACGAATTTACAGTTGAAAATATATTAAAATTTTAATCTTCATAAACTTCAATACATTTACATATTTCAAAAGATAGCTACCCTTTCGGTAGTAGGATACATTCTATTCTACGTACATGTACTGGTCTTTCATTCGATAATATTTTACATATAAGTATGTGGTTTACTTCACAAAATACACAAATTTTATAGAAAATTTTTCATATGCCAGTGTAAAGTGGTATGTATATGCGACGGATTCGGATAAAAAACGTCGTCTGAAGGTAGCAAACGGGAAACGGTTAGTTGCAGTAGCAGTGGCAGCATCAGGGACAGGAATAGAGTTCAGGAGCAAGCGACAGCATCCTGAGCAGGAGCTGGCTAGCAGGCAAGCTGGAGCTGTAGCATCAAGAGCAACGTTTGTAGCGCAGGGCTGGGTCGTGCTGGTGTGCGCGGGCATTTTCTAACGGGGGCTCGTGAGGCTGCTTGCTCTCTCTTCTGGTCCTCCGCTTTGCTCTGCCGGGAAGCCGGGAAGAGACGCGCATGCACTCCCTCACGACCGACCGACCGACCGACAACGCGACGCTCGCCTTCTCGCTACCGTCCGTCGCCAGCGTCACGGTTCACGGGAGGAAAACGAAAATCACAGTAAGATTGGTGCGCGTCGTGTCTTTATACTAGCGTAAGCGTCGTTACGATTGCTTTTGTTGACATAATGTTATAGTAGGTGCGTGATGCATGTTAACGCGTTTATCGTGGACATTTGATCACTATTATCGTATTAAATATAGGTACTTGTTAATACAATTGTTTACGTAACTAGTAGGTATATGGTAAATTTTTGCATAAGTGACACACAGTTGTGACACGTTTAAGCATCGTATAAGTGAAGTTGAAGGGGTTTAAAATGGTTACAGTGGACGATAAAGGGGTTAAATTGATAACGATAATGTTAAACTTAACAACCCCACAAATTGCAGATGATGCTGTAACCGTGATTACGACCGTGTGGTTTGCATTCGTTGCGTGTTTCTTTGGACTTATTGGTACAACGTGCTGCTGAAACATGTTGTTCTACTATTGCGGACTGCCGTTGCTATTGGCGGCGATTAGTGGACCCCTCCTGGGTACAGTTCTGCACCCCATGTATGCTGCTGCTGCAGAGACAGCTACTGCCTCCAATACGCAGGCAAAAAGAGGTATAACAATTTCCCTCCCACTTTTTTCCACACCCATACGTGTATAGATTTATGTACGTTTCGTGCTAATTGCTGCTACTACACCATAATTAAAACCGAGGATTCAGGCATCTCAAAGGCTGATTTATTTGAACGAAGAAATCACTAAAGTAGTAAATATACGATAATGTTTAGTTTTAGAAAAGATTCAAGCCAGAATAGTGGATTTCATATTAAAATATACAAATTTTCATCGATAGTTTTAAGTTTTAGAAAATGGCTACAAATGGCGCAGTAAACGCCATCTGTAGCACGATGCTACATTTTAGGATTACGTATGCAGACCACTTCGAATTATTTTATTCGAATTATTTTATTTAGTTTTAAGTTTAATTACTCAATAATTACAAAATTTGGTTGACTAGCTACAATTGGTTGAAGCAGTCAGTTAGAAATGTTTCAAAGTGGAATGAAATTCTAATTGTTCAATTTATAGTAATTTGAGCACCTACTGCTATCCTTATAAACCTAGTCAGAAATAATATAAAAATGTCATTATTATATAACGTACAATAAACTATCCAGTCTATAGAAATAGGAAATGTGTAAGAAAATTAGCTACGTAACATCTTACTATTACTTACCATTTTGATGTGCAAACTTTTTATTTAGTTGCAAGGAATGTATGCAAGGGAAAATATCCACATTCAACTCTGCGCAATCGCTAAGCGAAGTTTGAGGTTATTAACTATTTTAATGATAAATATGAGTTAAATTACACTTCTTCTTCTCACTTATACAAATTTAGGAATTATTAATTTAACAAACTTCGTAATAAGCTAAGAAACAGCTTCTAGTTAATTAATTTTAAAACTGATAACAAATTTATATTTACCCTAAATCCCTGGCACATTTTCATTTGCATTCATACATTAATTAACATGTGTACACGTCAGTGTTTTGAGTATGAGCAAACTCTTAACTTTTTTAAAAATTCACGAATCTCTTGTTAAAGCAACATTTCCTAATAGGAAATGCACCTACATATTCCGTTGAATCTAAGGTAAGTTAATCCAAATCTTACTAATTCTATGTAATGTTGGGAGAGGGATGAGGGTTAATCGACAGTCTGCTGCTTGTTTCACGAATGAGGCAAATTCTGAAGAGTACCGACATGAAATATGTAGTTACACATGTAACAACATTGTTCGGTGCAACATTTATCTATTTATTAGAAAATCATTCTTATCAACTAAATAGAAAAAATAAAGAGAAATAAAGAAGTCAATTCATTTAATAAAAGCATACCTATAGGAGAAAAACTAAAATTGAAACTGTCAGTATTAGACAGTATCGTTAATTATCGTCACCTTGATTTTCTTTTTCTTTTAAGTTTCCTCTATCTTTTACATAAATACAATTACGTAATATTTTAATTTCTCATTATCAGACTTGCATTTTGGTGTTGTTCTAGGAAATAGCCAAAATAGCTCACTGAAATTTGTACCTATAAATGACTCATGTGATTTTCGCTGTTTTCTCACTTTTTTCCTTTCTTTTTGGTACGTTTTATAGATATATAATGTAAATTGACAACGACCATTGAACACGGTTTTTAAATTAAGAACAATATTAATACTTCTGTTTGTCCATCTTTTAAAGGTTAAATTATTATTGTTGATAAGGTTGCTTATTTTACTTAACCGGATTTTTTTGTACGAAAAGAAATAAAAATGAAACAAAAATACTGATATGCAAGGGAAGGAAAAGTACGGAAATAGCGAATATAAAGATAGGAGACGAAAAATTAGAAAAAGTGACCAATTTTAGGTATCTAGGAAGTCAGATAAGTCAGGACGGAAGGAGTAGTAAAGATATAAAATAGAAGATAGCACAAGGTCGAGTCGCCTTCAATAAACAGAAGTCACTTCTAGGCTCGCTTTAATTTAGGAATTCGAAAAAGATTGTTAACGGTGAATGTTTGGAGCACGGCGTTGTACGGGTGCGAAACATGGATAGTGGGCGCGGTGAAAAAGAAAATGTTAGAAACGTTTGAAATGTGGTGTTACAGGCGAATGCTGAGGACACCGTGGATAGAGAAGGTTAGAAATTAAAAGGTATTAGAAAGAGTAAGAAAACAGAGGACTATATGGAAGTCAATAAGGAATAGACGTGATAGTTTAGTAGGACACCTTCTCAGGCATGATGGTCTAGTCAGAGACATATTAGAGGCTGAAACGTATGTTAGGAGGGGCAGAGGTAGACTTAGATTAGATTACTGTTCGCAAATAGTTAAGGATGTGGGTTGCTCTATCTTTAGGGAAATGCGAAGATTAGCTCGGGATAGAAAAAAGTGGAGGTGTGTGTCCAACCAGTCTTATAACTGACGACCTTATGATGATGATGATGACCGGAATTTTTAATATCCACTATGTAAAACCTGCCATGCATTTTCGAAAGTGGTCTAATTAACTCGCAACGCACTCTGGGTATATAAAAAATGATTTTCGTTAGTTACCTACAGTACTTACTTCTTCAAACGAATTAAAATATATTTATTTGCATTGCACTACACTCACTCGTAGCATTACGCAATCGTAATTCAATGACCGGAAAAATATGATACCCTGATAAACAGTAGAAGGTTGCGGAAAGTTCGGCATAACGAGTAGAACGGTAATTAGACCCAATTGTAAATATCGCAATCTGGAAAATCCTTAAAAATTAAATAACTTGTTGTTAACGAAATATTTAATCGGATTAAGTAGCTACATAAATACTGGGAAGGAAATCCTTATGATAATCTAATTATAGTAGTGGTGACAATATTGAAGCAATTGTTATCGAATAGGAGTTATATATTACTCTACACAGTATAATTAAATATTAGTAACGCAAATCTCAAAAGTAATTTTCTCTAAAATGATTAATTTTACAGGTATCTGCATGTTTACCTACTATTATTGATTCAACTCTAACTTTTACTATATGGATGTGAGTATCCACCTATTTTTCAAATAACTGACGACTTTGTAATAAGTCGACACATTTGTCTAGATTTTTTATTGTCGATCAATGCCGAAGTCATAAATCAGTTTTGCTCTAAGCGGAAGTTGCGTTATTGCTTGCAGGAAATCGCCTTTCTTTCCACCTACAACAGTGATAGATCCCGATACCATTACGAATGCATCCTATCCTTTATTTCAAAGATACTATTGGTAGATAATAAAAAAAACATATCGATTCCATCATTTATGTCTTCTTGAGCTTTCAGGCCGTGATTTGTTTTACTATTCACAACACTTCGTCTACAACGTCTCATGCGCCTGTCGTTTTGTAATGTTGGTGGGTTTAACAAAATTAACTTCTAAAACTGATAACGACAAAAACTATTTTACATTAATTATTAAAGAACTTAAAAACATTATTAAATTATTACTAAACTTAGGTTATGAATTATTCTATTTATTTACTCTACTGTTGATATATCACTATTCAGTGCGCTATTTATTTCACTATCACTGTCAATTTATTTCTAGATTCACTTCTGCAACGGTTAATTTATTTCTTCTTTCTCGGCGATCGTCTCTTCGTTTATATACCGTTTTGTTTACTTTCTAGAACCTTCTGGAAACATCAGGATAGTTTTGTTTTCTTTGAACTGTTTAACTCCTTTCCCAGAACGCAGGTACGACACACACATCTACAAATACGGCGCACATGAAGAAAGGCGCCCGCGGCTAGTCGGCGAATCGATAAGCCGTTCACGCACAGGTGTGCCCGATCGCACACAAACACACTCGTGCTCGCTACAGTATAATATATGTACCAGATTATATTTTTGAATAGGCGAGTTTAAATATGTAACAATTATGTCAACTGTAACATTTCCCTAAGGGGCAGGAGTGAAGGTGGAGGTAAAACGTCTAATACATAGGATTTAGTTTTTCCGTTCTTATGAAGGATATAATAAAATTAATTAATAGTAATTGTAACAAAATACATTTACAAACTTAACAAAAAAAAAGCATGAAAAAATAAATAAATGGAAATAGGACTCGAAAGCAGAGAAGCTAAACCGAAAGACTTGGTGAGAACTGAAGAACTTAGAAAAAAAAGTGTTCTCAAAATTGTGCAGGATGAGCTAAGGGTTAGATGATAAAGTAGGGTTCCAATCAGAAAATACTCGGTTTGCAAAAGAGTCAAGATAATAAATACTTAGAATTAGAATTTAGTTCCAAATCATCGAAAAAGACCATCATAAAATTGCAATTATGGTAAG